CCAGATTCATCTTATTTCTTCACTTGTCAGCAGAAGATAAAGCACAAAGAAGGCTTAAAAGCTGGCTGCAATCAAAATTAAAACTTGAATAATACTATTTAGAGTTATCAACTCTAGGACCTTCTGCTTGTTGCTCCACCATTTCTGGTGATGCCTGGATCTGGCTGACAACACTGGCCCATTCTGTAATGGGAGGCAGAACCCACCCCTACCAGGTGGGTCTCAGGAGCATCCACACCCAACCCAAGCCTCCACACCCTTACATGGAAAAGTAAGGGTACTCAACAAAGACATGCTGCTGCTCACAGTTATTCTTCCTATCATTCTGTGAGAAGACAGAGAACAATCTCCAACTTTGTCCCTCAGTATTTTCCAGGGGGGTGACTACAGAGACTCACTCAAGAACTCACAACAAGAACATTAGAAAACCAATGGGGAAAACATGTAGAAGCCCATCAAGCTCAATTAGCAAAAACAATATCACCAAAGACAAAAACAACACCAGTAAATACTCAGTCTCTTTAGTGACACTCTGATGAAGATGTCCAATGAGTTCAAAGAAATGATAGATCAGGTAGTCAGCAAAGCACAAGAAATTATGAAAGTCAAAATGAACAAACTACTATAGTCAGAAATGACAGAAAAGAAGAACATAGTGGGTGATAAATGTCAACAGCAGCTCTGAATAGCAGAGTAACAGAAACAGAGTAAAAGGTCAAGAAGCTCCAAGATGAGAGAGGGAAACCTCTACAAAAAAGCAGAAGGTACATAGCCTAAATGTAAATGATCATCATTCCAGAGAACTGTGGTATGAGTTCAAGAGAAACAATATAAAAATCAATGGAGTCCCTGAAGTACAGGAAGGCAAATGTGATAAAGAAACATTATTTAAATAAATTATGGGCCACGGCAATAGTGCAGTGGGCAGGGTATTTGCCTTGCACATGGTCAACTCGGGTTTATCCTCAGCATCCCAAATGTTTCCCATATGGTTCCCTAAACACTGCAAGGAGTAATTCCGTGAGTGCAGAGCCAGCAGTAACCCCTGAGTATCGCCAAAAATTATGACCCAAAAAGTTAAAAAAAAAAAACTCCAGGTGGAACCTCCAAAAGTTAAAAAAAACTTCAGGTGTAACCCCAAAAAGTAAAAAAAAATCATAGATAAGAACTTTATAGAGTTGAGGATTACAGGCACCAAGATTGAAGAGTTCTGAAGAGAAATAGACCCAAGGAAAATCCCAAGATACATGATACTCAAAATGATAAAAATCCAAAGATAGATACAGAATATTGAAGCAGCAAGATCAAAAAAAGAACATATAAGAAGGAAAGATTATTAAATATCAAATCTATCAAGTGATACTCTACGAGTCAGAAGAATATGGAAGGATACATCAACACACAAGCATATGCTTTATTATTTACAAAAGGAGCATGAGATGGAGCTGGAGCTATAGCACAGCGGGTAGGGCATTTGCCTTGTACGCAGTTCGTTCCCAGCATCCCATATGTTCCCCCAAGCACTGCCAGGAGTAATTCCTGAGTACATGAGCCAGGAATAATGCCTGTGCATTGCCGGATGTAACCCAAAAAGCAAAAAAAAAACCAAAAAAAACCAAAAAAGAGCCGGGGGGAGCATGAGAATATCATGAATTTTAGTAGAAATAGAATGTGCCTGTAGGAGGTTGCTTATTTTGAACTGAACTTGAAATGCTTGTAGAATCTTAACGAATAATAATAACAACCAGCACAGAGAAGAAAGGAATCTTCTTAAGTCTACTTAAGTGGAATTAAGTGGAGAAATAAACAGGACTTCTCATGTGGTGAAAGTTATGTTAACAAAGAATTGGAACTAGCACAGGAGTGCAGATGTCTTTTCTGCATTGTGTTTTTGGGCCCTTGGAGTAAATTCCCAGGAGTGGAATTACTGGATCTTATGGAAGTCAATTTCTAGGTTTTTTTGAGAAATGTCCACATTGTCTTCCAAAAGGGCTGGACCAGTCAATGTCCCCACCAGCAGGAAATGAGGGTCTTCTGCCCTCCCTCCCGGATTCCTGCCAACACTTTTGCTGTTTTACATTCAGATGAGCGCCAGTCTGGTGTGAGATGATATTACATTGTTGTTTTGATTTGCACTTCCCTGATGATTAGTGATGCGGAGCATTTTATTCCTATGCCTTTCGGTCATGTACACTTCTTCCCTGAGAATGTTGCTGTTCCTCTCTGTTCTCCACTTTTGGACAGGGTTGAATATTTTTCTTGTAAAGCTCAACCAGTGCTTAATGTATTTTGGATATTCACCTTTTAAAAAGAATGGTGAGCAAATAATATCTCCCAGTCTGTGGACTATCTTTGTATTCTGGTCGTTGTTTCCTTTAAGGTGTAGAAGCTTCTTAATTTAATGTAGTCCCATTTGCTAATCTTTGCTTCTACTTTGCTTCCACTTGCTTGGTCAGTGGCATTTCACCCTTGAAGATGCCTCGAGCTTCAATGTCATGGAGGTTCTGCTTATGTTTTCTTCTATGGGCCTAATGGATTCAGCTCTGGTGTTGAGGTCTTTAATACATTTTCATTTTGATTTTCATACATGGCAGTACAAAGAGGTAGGAGGTTTTGGGTTTTTCTTTTTTTGTTTGTTTTTTTGTTTTTGTTTTTTGGGTCATACCCAGCAATGCACAGGGGTTACTCCTGGCTCGTGCACTCAGGAATTATTCCTGGTGGTGCTCAGGGAACCATATGGGATGCTGGAAATTGAACCCGGGTCAGCCGCGTGCAAGGCAAACACCCTACCCACTGTGCTATCACTTCAGCCCCAAGGAGGTATTTTTGTTTTGTTTTGGTGGTTTTTCTATTGAGGGGATGTGACCAACCAGTTTCCCAGCACCACTTAGGAAGAGGCTTTCCTTGCTCCACTTTATATATTTTGCACCTTTAACAAAGAGTAACTGACCCTATATATGTATACACACACAAACACACACACACATATATATCTAGCACAGCGGTGGGGCGTTTGCCTTGCACGAAGCCAACATGGCGGACCCGAGTTCAATTCCTCTGCCCCTCTCAGAGAGCCCGGCAAGCTACCGAGAGTATCTCGCCCGCAAGGCAGAGCCTGGCAAGCTCCCTGTGACGTATTCGATATGCCAAACACAATAACAACAAAGTCTCCAATGGAGACGTCACTGGGCCCCCTCGAGCAAATCAATGATCAACGGGAGGGCCTTTACTTTACTTTACTTTATATATATGTCTATATGTCTATATGTCTATATATCTATATCTATATATATACCAAAGGATCTGTTTCTGGATTTTCCATCTATTCCATTGATCTCAGGGTCTGTTTTAACTCCAGAACCACACTCCTGTAATTACTACCCCACTATTCACAATAACCAAAATCTGGAAAAAACCTAAATGCCCAAGGAAACATGAATGAATAAACTAAGGTATATATACACAATGGAATACTACTCAGCAATAACAAAAGACAAAGTCATTCAATTTGCTGAATCATGGATGGATCTGTAGAAATCGTGCTGAGTGAAATGAGTCAGAGAAAACAGAGAGAATTATCTAATTAATATGCAGGATATAAATAAATATGGCAGTGAAATAGGTAAAGCCCAAAGGCAATAGAAACAAAGAGCATGATAACTGCTTCTTAGCTGGAGGCTTGCCACTTGGAGGAGCAGGAGAGAGGAGGGAGAGGTCAGAGAAAGGACCACTACGATAATGATAGAGGGGAGTTGTCAGTTTGGATGAGGACTGGGTGCTGAAAGAAAGTGAAATACATAGTACCCTATGAAGAATAATTTTAAACCACAGTGCCATGAGGAAAAAAAAGGAAAAGTGAAAATGGGCACTGGTGGAGGGATGGATACTCGATCATTGTATGACTGAAACACAAGCACGAAAGTTTGTAATCCTGTAACTGTACCTCTCAGTGATTCACTAATAAAATTTTTTTAAAAAAAGAAGAAAAAAAAAGTGCCTGTCAGAGAGAGAGGCTGAGGGGCAGGAAAGAAACTGGGGACATTGGCAGAGGGAAATAGACACTGGTAAAGGGATGGGTGTTGGAACACTGCACATCTGAAAACCAATCATAAATATGATTTTAACTGTGAATTCACAGTTATTAATTTTTAAGGGAATCTTATTGTCAATTCCCAAGTTTGAGTCTGGCTCATTTCAAGGCAGACGCACCGAGAGTAAATGAGAAATAAGATAGCTGGTCATATTGGAAGAATATGTAAAATGGCTCTATTTACTGTCAACATAAATATTTATATTTAATCCTTGTGGAAGCAAAGGAAGCCGCAAATTTTAAGTTATTACTAACTGTGTCATTAAATCTTGGGACATTTTGAGAGAGACATTGACAGAAGTTTCTGAAGAGAGTATGAGAGTAAAAGAGAGGACTCAGGGATTTGATATGTCCAGGTTCCATAACTGGAGAAACTCTTGCTTCCCTTCTTGTCTCTCTGTCCCAGTGATATCATGAAGTCAGTGCTAAGTCACTGCAATTAACAATCCATATGTAATATTTGTTGGATCTTGCATGTTAATGGAGCAGTTTGCTGAAGGTGAGCTGATAAGAAACACTTTTATTTTGTTATTTTACTAGCGACAAAATCCAAGACTCTCAACAAAAGTTGTGATGAGTAAGAATTATGTCTAATAACACCATTCATTCCTTGATTTCGAAAATAGAGTCAGTTGTACCTTTCTTGCAAAACCTCATTTAAAAGGGTCAGGGATATAGTTTCGGGGTTAAGATGCTTATATGTGGCCAACCCCAGTTCAGTCTCTAGCTCTGCACTCTCAGAGTGCCTTTGAGGTGTGATTTCAGGACAGATACAGTGAGACACACTGAGCACAAAACCAGGAATAGTCTGTGTACTTCTGGATTTAGCCCCCCAACTCAAATCTTACCCCTTCAAAAATGAAATGAAGAGAAAACTGCATTTCAGAGCAAGATTCTCTGAAATTTCCAGGCACTTTCATCAATGGAAGAATTTTATAATCTGGATCGAGACATTGAAGGATCTGCCAAGAGTTGGAAGAAGTTTGTGGAATCAGAATGTCCAGAGAAGGAGAAGTTCCCACAGGAGTGGAAGAACAAGACAGCCCTGCAGCGTCTCTGCATGATGAGAGCCCTCCGGCCCGACAGGATGACCTATGCCATGAGGTAGGAGTGAAGGTCACAGGGAGGCCCAGGAGAGGGTGGGGCAAATGTTAAGTATATTAAGTCAGCAGGACTGAGCTTAAAGCCATCCGTATTCGTGGCCTTTGTAGCAACATCCAAAAATACCATGAGGTCCGTCGCTCTATTTGCCAAAATGTGGGGAGAGTGTGAAAGACATGTTTGTCTCTATAAAACTTGAGGGGGAAAAAAAGTGATGATAATCCCATCAGTGTGGTAGGAGATGGTGGAATCTAGAGAATGGACAGAACTATCCATAGCCTAAAAAAATGGACCTTTCATCACAGAGCAGCAGAACAAGGTGGTGTCTTCCACAGCGGCACATAGCAACCAGGTAAAGATTCAGAGCTAGCTGAATCTAGGCCATAGATCTCAAGTTGGTGTGTTGAAATCATAGCTATGGAAGGAAAGGATATTTCAGAAGCATGTTTTGGGGGATTGATTTTCTTATTTTTTGTTAGCCTATTTGTTTTTGTTTGTGGTCACATCTGGCATTCTCAAGGACTGGTCCTGGCTCTGTTGTCAGGTTCTGTTGTCTGGCTCTTCTGCTAGTGCTCAGAGAATATGTGGTGCCAGGGATTGAATGGGTCAGCCATGTTCATGGCAAAAGCCTTCACCCTTGGACTTTCTCTCCAGTTTCTGTAAGAGTGTTATCTAAAGTGATAGGCTACGCAATCTGCAGAGATAGAAAGAAAATTAGTAGTTTTTACCTGGAGCTGGAGGATAGAAAAAGGAATAACTTAAGTAGGTATGAAGAATTTTACTGGCAGGATTGAAGTTTTTAAAGCTGAAGGATTGTGAATGTTTTTCAAATTTGTGGGATTTTATGTTATGTCACTTAAATCTCAATAGTATTTGCTTTGCAAACAAAGCAGACAGAAATTATGAGCCTTTCAGTCTATACTAAAATAAGAAAAAAAGTGAAGATATAAGGATTGTAATACCAAGTATGCCAAGAGACTGAAAACTTGCCTTTATATGAGCAAAAATACACATCAAGAATAGTAGGTGTAAAGGATAAATTACCAAAATTTATAAGAGTAAGAGTAGAAACTCTTTGGTCAAAGATATAGTTTAAGACAGAATTCTCTTGCAAGTAAATGTGAGAATGAGGATATAACTGGAATAGGGTGGTTGCAGTGAGGATAAAGTGAAGATAAATACAAATATGGAGAATTATCCACATGGGTGTTGATATGACCATGAGTAGTAGAAAGTCCACAATGGGTCCAACTGTTCAGTGAATGAGTAAAAGAAAAATAAATGTTCAAAAGAAAAATAAATGACAGGTATGTGCATAAATACAGAGGATAAATTCAGGGGAGATGAATATTAACAGAACAAGTAAAGAAATTATACTTTGGAAATCATTGAAAATAATGGTTTGGGAATCAGTGAGTCAGACTGTTAGCCCAACTCCCAACCCTCAAATGCCTCGAATGGAAGAGAATAAAACAAACCAGAAGGCTACATGCTGCTCTCTTGGGGGAGAGTTTCAGGAGAGGAACTGAAACAGATGGAAATAAATGATTGCTGCTGCAAGGTTTTGTTTAGCAATAAATATATATATATGTATATATAAAACAAGCACTGTCCTCCCGTTGTTCATTGATTTGCTCAAGCGGGCCCAGTAATGTCTCCATTTTGAGACTTATTGTTACTGTGTTTGGCATATTGAATATGTCACGGGTAGCTTGCCAGGCTTTGGCGTGCGGGTAAGATACTCTCGGTAACTTGCTGGGCTCTCTGAGAGGGGCGAAGGATGAAAAATATATATCACTGTCACACTTGCTGGGCTCTCTGAGAGGGGCGGAGGATGAATATATATATATATGTATATATATATATATATATATCACTGTCACTGCTGTCACTGTCCTCCCATTGTTCATCGATTTGCTCAAGCAGGCCCAGTAACATTGTGAGACTTGTTACTGTGTTTGGCATATCGAATGTGTCACAGGTAGCTTGCCAGGCTTTGCTGTGTGGGTGAGATACTCTTGGTAGCTTGCCAGGCTCTCCAAGAGGGGCGGAGGAATCAAACTTGGGTCGGCCGTGTGGGCCGCATGCAAGGCAAAAACCCTACCCCCTGTGCTACCTTGTTTTTGACACTTTGGAAGGAATATTAGTGGACCAGAAGGTTTTAAATCTTTGTTAGGGCAGTAGTATCACGGAGACATTGATATGAAGGAGTTAGCTGCTTGCAATATTTCAGAATGCGCTAGTCCTGGCAGTCTCCTGGAAGTCATGATTATGTGATAAGACAGCACAGTTTCACAGAATAGTCAGCAATGGCCTAACTAAGTAGGAATTTGAAAGTGGCCCTGACCTATGTGAGTAGACTGACAACTAGCAACACAGGTCATTAAGTGTTGATTTAATATATAGTGAATTTGGATTTCCATTTCTCAGCAATGGCCAAACATGTGCTCTCAAGCACCTTCTTATATTTCTATAGACATGTTACTCAAATGTTTTAATTTTATTATTGATATGTATATGTGCCTTTTATTTCTAACAGAGACTTTGTTGAGGAAAAGTTAGGAAGTAAATATGTGGGAGGAAGAGCAATAGATTTCGCAACATCATTTGAAGAATCAGGACCATCTACTCCCATGTTTTTTATTCTGTCTCCAGGGGTAGATCCACTGAAGGATGTGGAAAACCAAGGTAAGAAATATCATCTTGAAACCAATGCTGAAAATGCTTCATGCACTTTTATTCTTTGTATCAACTTCTCTGCATGATTCAAGGCTCATTGGACAATATTCAACATTTGTTAACTATTGAGTCATTGCTTAAGTAATACTAAGAAATCATTGCTACAGAGAAAAATGCTCAGAGATAGACTTCACAGTAGCACATGTAATGAGGAAATCTCATCCTGCCACCTACCCACATACCTACTGCCTTTACCGTAGCTGGAACAAGCTTTCTGAAATTCTTTCACAGTCTCCTGTGATGCCCCTAGAATAAATCCCAAATTCCTTGGCAAGGCTAATGGAAGTTGGCATTCTGGCTCTTATTTCTCTAGCCTACTTTCATTTATCAATTTCCTATCTCTGTTTTAAATATGTGTGCATGTGTCAGAGACTGGCCCACATCCACAAGAACAAAAGCAACAGGTGCTGGCGCGGATGTGGCGAGAAAGGGACCCTCCTTCACTGCTGGTGGGAATGCAGGCTGGTCCAACCCTTTTGGAAAACAGTATGGATGATTCTCAAAAAATTAGAATTCGATCTCCCATTTGACCCAGCTATAGCACTCCTGGGAATATATCCCAGAGAGGCAAAAAGGTATAGTCGAAGTGACATCTGCAATTGTTTGTTCATTGCAGCACTCTTTACAATAGCCAAAATCTGGAAAAAACCTGAGTGCCCGAGAACAGATGACTGGTTAAAGAAGCTTTGGTACATTTACACAATGGAGTACTATGTAGCTGTTAGAAAAGATGAAGTTATGAAATTTACATACAAGTGGAACTACATGGAAAGTATCATGTTAAGCGAAATGAGTCAGAAAGAGCGGGATAGACACAGAAAGATTGCATTCATCTGGGGAACATAAAGCAACAAAACGGGAGACTAACACCCAGGAAGGGCTCAGATTAGTACCAGGAATTTTGCTCCATGACTTGAAGGCCAGCCACATGTGCTAGGTGAGAAGGAAGCTCAGATAGAGAAGAGAGCACCAAATAAAGGGTGTTGTGAAGACCCTCCCAGGGTGGGAGAGACATGCTAAAAGTGTTCTATAGACCAAACATGACTGCCACTCAATGCCTCTCTGGCAAAACACAGTACCCAAAAGAAGAGAGAGAGAACAGGGAGGAATGCCCTGCCACAGCGGCAGGGTGGGACGGGGGGGGGGGGGAGGATGGGGGGTCGGAGGGATGCTAGGACCTGTGGTGGGGGAGGATGGGCACTGGTGGAGGGATGGGTACTTGATCATTGTATAACTGAAACCCAAGCACAAAAATTTGTGAGTCTATAAGTGTACTTCATGGTGTTTCACTAATAAAAAAAAAGATAAAAAAACAAACAAACAAAAAAACAAAACAAAATGACAGTGAGTTATCACCTCACACCATTGAGAATGAACTCATGCTGATAGGGATGGAGTGAAAAAGCCTGGTGGGAATGTTGGTTCAGCTCGTATGGAAAACAGTATTTCTAAGAAATTAAATAGAAAGCTTTCATACAGCTGAGACATTCTGCTCCTTGACATCTATCCCAAGTATATAAAAATATTAATTTAAAAAGTCATATATGCATTAACTGTTTGTATTATGTAATAAATGTATGTTCTTGTAAAAAAAAAAAAATGTGTGCATGTGTATATATATATATATATGTGTGTGTGTGTGTGTGTGTTTGTATGTGTGTGTGTGTGTGGGTGGGTGTGGGTGTGTATAATCTAGCAGCTTCAAATAACACCAATGTATCATTGTAGCACTCCGGAGTCATAACTGATCTTTCTCTCTCTTTTCCTTATAAGAACCCATATGGTCATATTGGACCCACTCAGATCTTTCAGGATAGTGTAGCAGTCCTTAATTCAATCATATCTTCAGACTCCCTTTTGGATTTATGCTACCTTTCTGTATCCCATATCCTCTATTTCAATTTCATCTTAATCATGCTGGCACTACAAAAAAAAAGGCTGGGAATTAAAATTTCTGAATCAGTAGTTGTCTAAAATTGCTTCATTCTTGCCCGTATACTTGAAGACAGTTTTGGTTATAAGAGACCACATGCCAGTAGAAAGTTATTCTTCCCTATTTTCCTTGTTAGTGATCTATTTTACTACTCTGAAACCTTTTTTTAAGTATTTCCAGGGACCAAAACCAAGAACTCACACACGCTAGGCAAATGCTCTGCCACTGACTCACACCACCAACACCTTTCTTGAAAACTCTTGGATCATTTATCTGTACTATATTATGAAATTTAGTTCACCTGCTCAGCACTCAATAATACAATTTTAAGTGTATGTCATAATTTTTTCATCTATGGAAGTTTTACTCAATTGTTTTTGTTTTTGTAAATGCCACCACCATTTATCAAGTTCCTCATGCCAGGAATCTGGGGTCAATGAACCTGGATACCTCCTCTAGCCCCCTCACACGAAATCCTAATGACTCTAAGTGCTAGAGGCTTGTCACTGGTTTTAGTTGTTTTGCTTTTACTTTTGGTTTTTCAGGAAGTCTGACCTCATCAGTGCTGGAAGTGAATCCCTGTGCATATCAGAAATGTGCCCTAGCATCTGACACTTGCTTTAATTGCTGTATCTTCATCATTGACTCCCTGGTTCAAACCATCCTGATTTCTCATCTGCACAATCACAGTAGTCTGCATGTCATCCTACACCCCTGGCCTACAGTGTTTTATAGGTTTGCAGTCAAAGGCTTCTTGCTCAATTTCAAATCTGATCATGTCACTCTATTATTTCAAACTCTCTATTACTTCCCATTATCTTAAGGTAAAGTTCAATTACACGAAAATCATCCCCGTGGGCTGCATGGCCTGCCTTTCCATCCAGCCCTTGGCCCTCCCTTCCCTGAGGCCTTTGGCCCCCTGCCACATAGCCCTTTTAGATCCTTAGTCATATACATTGCTTTGCTGAGGACACTCTTTACATGAGTACTTATTATTTTTTATGACTACTTACTTTTACCTCAATTTCTTTCTGTCTCACCCTTGATCATACAATGTCTTCTTATCCTCAGATATCAACTCTCCTGGCCATATAAGACTATTTGGCTCCTCCTTATACTTATGTTTTAGAGCATTTAATACAATTCTAAATAGTTAACTCTTCAATGATGGTACATCTACACTATGGAATACTATGCAGCCATTAGGAAAAGCAAAGTCATGAAATTTGCTTTTACATGAATGGACATGGAGAGTATCATATTGTGCAAAATGAGTCAGAGGGACAGACATAGAAATGGTTATACTCATTTTCAGAATGTTAAAAACTATTCATCACCACCACCAGTTCCAGTATCCGTCCCACCCCCCTTCCCCACATCCCACCCTACCACTGTGGTAGGGCATTCCCTTTTGTTATCTCTCTCCTTTTCAGTGCTGTGGTTTGCAAAAGAGACATTGAGTGGCGATCTTGTTCGGACTATAGTCTACTCTCATCATGCATTTCCCATCCTGAGAGGAACCTCCCAATACCCTTTATTTGGTGCTCCCTTCTCTATCTGAGCTGCCTTTTCCCCTAGCATGTGTGGCTGTCCTCAAAGCCATGAAGTAATCCTCCTGGTACTTATCTCAGCTATTCTTGGGTGTTAGTCTCCTATTTTGTTACTTTATGTTCCCCAGATGAATGCAATCTTTCTATGTCTATCACTCTCTTTCTGACTCATTTCACTTAGCATGATACTTTAATGGGCACTGGTGGAGGAATGGGTATTCGATCATTGTATAACTGAAACCCAAGCACAAAAATTTATAAGTCTACAACTGTACCTCATGGTGTTTCACTAATAAAAATTTAAGGAAAAAAAACTGTTATAAGAATAATACCATACTTCCCTTGCAGAGGATATACCATGATCACAAAGGTGGTTTTCCCAGGCTGAGGCTTATCCATTGCACTCCAAATGTGCTGATCCCTGCAATTTCCCAAATGTGGGAAACTTGACTGCATAATGTGTGGTAGTGGAGGACTATATTCAAGCTCTCTCCTAAAACAAAAGAAAGAAAGAAAAGAATAGCCAGACAGTAGAAATGAGGACCTGGAGAGCTGGTCATTGTAGAAATCATGACAGAAGTTGTAGAGGAGTGAGTTAGGACAGAGAAGGGAAGACTGCGACAGCAATAATTGGAAATGGTCACTCTGGTTGAGAAGTAGGTGCTGAAAGGAGGTAATAACATTTTAGTAACAGTATTTCAAACCACAGTGCTTAAGAGGAGACAGAGAGAGGGAGAGGGAGGGAGGGAGGGAGGGAGGGAGGAAGGGAGGAAGGAAGATGGAGGAGGAGGAGGAGGGGGAGGAGGAGGGAGAGGAGGAGGAGGAGGAGGAAAAAGAAGAAGAAATGCCTGCCATAGAGGCAGGTTGGAGGTAGATGGGTACGTAGCTAGGGACAATGGTGGTGAGAAATGTACACTTCTAGAGGGATCGGGGTTGGAACATTGTATGACTGAAATCCAATCATGACAAACTTTGCAAACTGTGTACCTCATGATGATTTAATTTTTAAAATGAAAGAAAAATTAACTTTCTTTTTGGAGCGATAGCACAGCGGTAGGGTGTTCGCCTTACAAGCGGCCAACATGGCCGACCCGAGTTCGATTCCTCCGCCCCTCTCGGAGAGCCCGGCAAGCTACCGAGAGTATTCGATATGCCAAACACAGTAACAACAAAGTCTCCAATGGAGATGTTACTGGGCCCGCTCGAGCAAATCGACGATCAACGGGAGGGCCTTTACCTTTTATAATTTTACTTATGTTTTACAAAATTACTCAGACTCAGATCAAGGGTGATGTCCTCCTGTTTGTAATTTTTACCATTTCTTAAAGAGTAATTAGCACAAATAAGTGTTATAAATTCTTAGACAGATTACAAAGCAATGTCATAGAACTACTGTAATATCTACATTGATTCTGACCTTTTATAAAGTTCTAAATTTCTCTCTCCCCTGAGGGTTTCATATAGACAAAACTAGTTTTCTCATTTTTATTCACTATTTTCCCTCCTGGAAAGTTTATATACTCAAATTATGAGCAATTTTCTATTGTTCTTTGACATTTGACATCCAACTATTCCATAATATAGTTTGGAGCTCTCTGTCATTTTATACAATCTGACCCCTTTCTCGATATATATTGGTTTTTTTATTTCTGAATATAAAATATCAACTCTCCCTCCATGACTTGATGCATATTTCTTTATCAGAAGTAATGCTGCTGTCCATTAACCAGCTTTCTTGGGCACCTGTGTCTCTTTCTCTCTCCCTATCCTTTTGATGGTTTGATTTACTTTCTAATTCACCAATCTATAACATATATTCTGGAGATAGTCATGTTTACTGCATCTTGAATCTAACAGGAGATCACCCTGATATCCATTTCTCAATATTGGAATTCACATGAATGAATTTCCCATATCAAGCTTAGTATGTTTACAAACTTACTCTCTCTATGCTTGGACAGTTATTTTTTTGTATCTGACAGTTCATTGTCTTACTTCATAAAGACACTTTTAAAAATTTCATCATTTCCATATGAGTTTTTTCTTCTTAGCATCTCAATTTCTCTATTCTGTTGTTTCATCAGACCTATTTGTCATATAGGGTAGAATTTTGGTTTTGTTATTTGTTCTGTTTCTTTTTTATTTTTTGTGTATTTGTTTAAGAAAAATTAATGTCTTAATATCTTTTCTCTTTTTTTAAAACAGTTTATCCTCTCTTGCCAATTTGATTGTTAGTTCTATTATTTCCATTTTGTCATTAAGAAAAAGGAATTACCTATTGCGATAGCACAGCGGTAGGGCGTTTGCCTTGCACGCAGCCAACATGGCCGACCCGAGTTCGATTCCTCCGCCCCTCTCAGAGAGCCCGGCAAGCTACCGAGAGTATCTCGCCCGCACGGCAGAGCCTGGCAAGCTCCCCATGACGTATTCGATATGCCAGACACAGTAACAACAAGGTCTCCAATGGAGACGTTACTGGGCCTGCTCGAGCAAATCGATGATCAACGGGAGGGCCTTTACCTTTACCTTACCTTTACCTATTACATGTGCCTTCTCCTTCCTTATTCTCTTTCCAATGCTCTTGTGAAGACAGTAAACTCAGGCCTATTCTCAAGTCCATGTCAAAGAAACACCTTCAATTCAGTGTCTCTGCTGTGTGATTGTCAACATTTTGCTCAAGTTTCCTTTTCATTGTTTCTGACTCCATCCCCTTTTCTGTAAGAAACAATTGAAAGTTGCCTAAGTTAAAACAGGTTCAATCTTTAGAAGATGGTTTCAAAATTAAGGAATTATCACTTTTGTGTGTTGAGAAAAACATATGTTCAGGTGCCAGCTATCAAGAGAATAAACAGTCATAGAGTTTAGAGAAAAAATTGACTGTCACATCCTTCTTGCCCTGCCAAGACCACGAGTTGCCACCAACGAATGGCTCTCTGGCACGGCCATGGCCCCAGGGGCACACGGACCTAATTCAGAACCCAGCAGCTTTTGGCAGAAATGTGAATGGACTATGCATTAAGCTATAGTGCCATGCCCCCTGCCTCCCCACTCCTGGAGGGAAAGGGTGACTGTCTCTTCCACCTCCCCCCCGCCCCCCATGGCATGGTGGCTGTCATCTCAGAGCTTATTGGACAGCCAGGTATGAGCCGGTGGTGACGGGGCAACTGCGGCCAAATGGGATGGGGGTCAGAACCAACACGTCCTTCTCACCCAGCCAAGACCATGAGTTGCCCCCCACGAGCGGCTCTCTGGCACGGTCATGGACCCAGAGGCACATAAACCAATCTCAGAACTATGCAGCTTTTAGCAGAAATCCCTCTAGACTTAATTAGTAAAATATCAGAAATCCAAAATCGCACGGCCACTATTGCAGTCGTGCAACATCATGTGGTCTTCATAACCAGCAATAGAAAACAAATTATTTCACGATGCCTTTTCAGCAGGTTTTATTGTTGGGGGGGAGATTCTAAGTAATAATAGTGCATCTTTTGTCGAAATAATGAATATAATCAAAGTAGAGAGAGAGTTAAGTGGAAATCATCTGCCTCACAGGCATGGGGGGGTGTGGGATGGGGTGTATATTGAGGTTCTTGGTGGTGTAAAATATGCACTGGTGAAGGGAATGGTGTTTGATCATTGTATGACCAAGACTTAAACCTTTTTTTAGTATATTTATTTATTCAATAAATAAATTTTAAAAAATGCTTAGAGAAAAATATGAGATTTTAAGTGAGTTATAGAGGAAGAACACTCTTCTATTGAAATGAAGAGGTCCAGAAAATTTCTCCTGCAAAATAGAGGGCCCATTAGGAAAATATTTAAAGATTGACAGAAATGGACAATGAAGTCACTTTCTAGACACATGAAAAAATTACAAAGCAACACAGACAGAGAATCATAATTTGTGATAGCTCCAACTTACTTAGAATAATTTCTCTCTTATTAATTTTTATATTTGTTCAAGAGTGATGCTTTACAAAACTCAGTGGAAGAGAAAATCATTTTAGAAATTTGTAAGATCCTTGTTCACATTGTGGATAATTTGGTTCACATTTAAATAAAAGGATAAAGTAAAAATTGGAAAAAATAGAAAAGCTAATGAGTGGGTGCGAAAGTGAGTAATCTGGACAGTAGAAAGTAATAGTCATTAATAGGTATATAACAATCAAGCTTCAGACATGAGACAATTCTCATTGATAGCCACTGGAAGTGAGTGACTGAAATTAAAAGGTGTGTAAACTTAAAAAAGACAGCAGCAGTGGTGGCTCTATCTTTCCTGCCACCCGCATTCTGTAGTCTCACACCGTTTCCCCCACCCCAGGGAGGTCGGTGGCGATGGGCAGGTGAAGGAAGGAAACGAGGGCCAGGCTGGTTGGTCTCAGTTGAAGTTTATTCCAATCCTCTCTCCATCCACTCCTGTCTATCTCCTTTGCCTCTCCCATGCTACTTCATTCTCCTTCTCGATCCCCCTTCATTCTCCTGACTCTGGAATCTGGATTCCATTTCTCCTTCTCCTTCTGGAGTCTGGATCCTGATCCCCCAGCCCACTCTTACAGTACAGTTAAATCCCAAAGCATGAGGGGTTGGGGTAACAATTACACATAGGTGTGGTCACAATCAATAGGGGTAAAATTCTTTCTCTCCAAGAAAACCACTTCTAGGATAAATACTCTCTCAGCAGGACAACCCATCCTAGAATGGAATCTCATGGGTGTGTTTCGTCTCTCCTTATCCAACAAACATACAAGCATACATAATATAAATCATTTTGTATGGATACAATAAGAAATACCTTAAACTTATAGGATTGCTCTCCTAGGGCCATCTCAATCTCAGGCTACAGTGCTCAGGCCAGATAATCTTTCCTATCCCTAGCAGGGTCCTAGTCTCGTGGTTACTTTTGGATCATGACAGCATTTGTCTATGATCAAGCTCTTAACTTATACTTAAGAAGTGTGGCACTTTGGCTTGGCCCATTTTGATGCCAGGGTAGCTCACCACTTGCCCTGGGTCCATTCAGTTCCTTGTCGGGACCCTGCTTTTGGGGTGTTAGGAACTAAGGACAACTGAGGCTTAAGTCGAGAAAGCAGATGCCCGGGAGTGAATAATATTCAAAGCCAATTAAATCCTAAGTTACAAAGCATAATATTAATGGTCTTCCTGTATGTATATCAAAAGGACATTGCATTAAAGTAAACTATTTATAAGACATAAGGAGAGGAGAAAGGCAGTATTAACTTACAATACAAGTTCAGTGTCCTGAAGGATGTGACCTTACAAATTGACAGAATCTGATTGGGGGAAAAGCTGATTAACTGGTTGGGGAAGAGAGCATAGAGAAGTGGTTACAGATAAACAAAGGAATGGGAGTTACTCGGGAGCACTGTGATGGGTGTAACCTGATAAACCTAAGCTCCTGTGGCAAGGGAGAAAGGACAAAGCAATATTATCCTACAAAAAAGGAATCAAATTCTCTGAAGATAAGGACACATAAAGCTGAATGATAATTAAATAATGCATAGTGACATTAAAAATTATAAGGATAATAAATAAATGGAAAGGACAGAATACTTGAACCATCTTGTAAATCTCCTATGAACAAATCACGATTACTGCGTGCTGTTATCCATTTTTATCTCCTCAGTTTTATTGTCATGCCTCAAGCCCAGATTCCTACAAACTAATCATAACTGGCATGTGCTATGCTAGCCTTTGCCCCCAAATCCCTCCAGTTTGTAGTTTCAATCTAGCTTTATTAAATTCCTCTTTTCCTATATCCTTCTCTTACTAATAAAGAAAAAAATAGGCCTCTGTGAGTAAAAATGTCAATGAATGGCTCTAATAATATTTTCTTCCTGGCATTTGCTCTGGATATGTTGTTCATATAGTTGGTTCTAAATCTCACAGCAAATCTATTGCAACTAGGATTTATAGAATTTAATAAAAGCAATTTGGGGATTTAATCTAAGACCTATATTAACTATTCCTCACTATAAAACATCATCATTTTTCTTTGTTTCATACAGTAAGAGTCTATTTTTCTAAAAAAAAAATCTAATAATGAAACTTTTTATTCTATAGAATATCAAATTGTATCTTCAATTTTAATTCTTCCATTACTGAAATTTTTAAATACAGATTTATATTCTCTTTTTTGTTTGTTTTAATTCTCCTCTTTTCTCTTGAGTAAAATTTCCTTCATGCTAATATATGTTATTATTATCCTTTTTCTATAAATATTCTAAAATGTATCCAAACACTATTGTGTGGGGCTAATAGTAGGTGTCTGGTGTCTTCTATATTTAAGTCATTTACTTGTTTAAAATTTAACTTAGACTTGGAGAACAATTTATGTGCAATTCATTCATCACTTACTCTAGTGATATGTTTATTGTATTTGTGTTGGTGAAACTATTTCTTTATTGCATTCCCATCCCAAGCTACTTCTAGTACATATCTATAGTTACAACAATACAACTGAGCCTCTTCCACTCTTCACTCTAATTCATGCAAAATAATGAAAAAACTTTTCTGTATATAAGGAATCATAGAAAAGGAGAATAATATAGCATTAGTAGAGGGAGCCAGCATTAATTAAATGCTATTCCTATTTGCCACACTTTCCAGTAAAGATTCAGAGAAAATATACATTTGGAGTACAAAGAAAATCTGACCTACACCCATAAATGTTCCACTCTGTGCTTTTTTCTATCCGCTCTCTTTACGAGAATGAGTCAATGGCAAGCCTTGAAAAGGAAGTTATACAAAAGAACATCAGTACTTCTACCCTTTTTAGAGATTAAGTGAAAAGTAAGATGTGAAATAACTTCAGTCTAGGCCAGCACTTCCTTTTATTCGGCAACAAAAAGCTGGAGGATGTTGGAGACACACACATGCATTAAGAAAAAGAATCAGCAATGTGCTGAGAGTAGATCAGACAGGCCTGTGTTTGAGGAGTGAAATGGAGGGAATCATTTTCTTAGGAACATTAAATAGCATAGATCAGCAGAAATAAAAGATGAAAGTGTCAATCTGTATTCTTTCTTTTAGGTAAAAAACTTGGTTATACCTTCAACAATCAGAACTTTCACAACGTCTCTTTGGGACAAGGACAAGAGGTAGTGGCTGAGGCTGTGCTGGACCTTGCTGCCAAGAAAGGCCATTGGGTTATTCTGCAGGTATGCTCGCTCAGCCCTGATCAGGGCACTCTGGAGCCCACAACTATATGACCCTCACATCTGAATTCCTGAGCTTGTCTTTATCCCTTTCTCACACCTCTGTACTCCTGTCACTTCCAAATCTCTTCTCAGTTTTGCCTCATGTTTTCTTCTTTACCTCAACCCCAATAATGCTTTTCCCTCTCCATCCCCCATCCTCTCACCAGTGCCCACCACTCTCTCTAGCTTAAGTAGTTCTGTTTATAAGAGAAAATCAGTTTTCACTTTGGTCAAAGCTCAAGAAGTAGGTATTTGGTTGAAAGTCATGGAGCTAGATTTTTCAAAACTCTTGATTTTATGCGTTTCCCAGAATTTTTTCTCTGCTTGTTCTATTGTGCTACATATTATATGGACATTTTGAGTACCCATTGTAGGTAATTTCACTGAACAAGAAAGTTACAAGAAATCAAGTCTACTCTTTTCTTGTTATGGTCTCTTAGTTTATACAACTTGTATGGATATTGTGCTATGAAAGAACGAATGACTTACTCTTTTTTTGAGAGTAACTATGGTTATACTGAGATGTTTCACTATGTGACTTTATGTTTTAACTAAATTAGGTAGAGGCATTAAATGTACCTATATATCTTTTAGTCAGATACATAGAAATTTTTTATGTTTTTAATAGTAACATGTTCCAGTATATGTAAATTTGATATACTTTTTGGCACCCAGTACACTACTTGAGTAAGCATTCAACAAAAAACAGTTCCTTCCACCCCATTCTGGCTTTGATTACTAAGAACTGTACCATATTTTTTTTCTGAGTCCTCATCCTTAATTATCTCATCATTTATTTGGAGTCTAAACATTGAAGAATTGACTATTACCCTGGAGAGCTTTTCCAAAAATAATTATAATTTCACTATAAAATTTGGGCAGGGGGAGGGGGAGGAGGTGTAGACAACTAGGGTTCTTTCTTCCTCCCATGTGAGTTAGCAGCGTTTGAAAGGTCGTGACCTCCTACTGCCTAAGATTCACCTAATAGGGAGATACCTGTCAAGGCTTTGTAAACCCAGCCACTCAAATATTAAACAGAGAGTAGTTTTTCTCTCAGCAAATACTGGCTACACAGGACCTCTAGTCCCTGTATTGATGTGACTTCTGAAAACTATCCAAGATTACATTCAGAAACTGGGATTCCTGAAGACAGAGCAGTTATTCCTTTGTGAATCTCTGCATGAAAACCGTGACTCCCAAATCAGCCGATTAAAATTTTCTCCCCAGTAGATTTATCCTAAAATTCTTTAATTTAATAAAATTTTATTTCAATAACTTCTACTAATGCTTATATTATATTTTACTTTTTACATGGCTCTTTGAATGTGTTAAATTTGGTTTTAGAACCTGTCCAATGAATTAAGTGTGTAAAATATTATTTCTCTTTTATAGAAAGAGAAAGCAACACTCAAAGAATATATTACTATGTCAAAATCACTGTGCTTCATGCCAATATGTGTACTTAAGGTTCAAAGAACAGGACTCTTCAACTATTTATTGAGGCACCTTTATCTATCCATTACAACATAACATATTGCAATAAAACAATATGACTATCCTTAATAAAGTGAAAGATACATTTGCATAATGCTAAAAATTAATGTAAGTTTATGTAGATGGGCAGACCGATAAGAACCATGCTGAATAAAAAGTATATTTGCCTGTTGGTGACAGCAATGAATCAGTAAGTTTTGGGAAAACAAATGAATGACTTGAAGACAAGAGGAAAGTCAGGAAAACTAGTTGCAGGAAGTTAGATCACTGCTTTTCAAAATAAGACATTCCTACAAATTAGTGAAAGAACTTACTAAAATGCCTTATTTCAGTAAGTCTGAGGTGATGTCAGCTTCACTGGTCTGTGGGCGCTACTTCTGAGTATCACATGCTCAAATGATCTAGGCATCCAAGACACTAGATTTAGAGTGTGAAAACATATTAAATCAGCCATATCAGAAATACATAAGACTTTAAAGTGCAAATTTTCAGGCTCTTTTCTAATCCTACAGATTCAGAAACTCTAGGGTAAACCCAAGAATCCACCAGAATCTGTTTTTAGTACAGATTTAATGGGTCTTATCTTAAATTTAATGGAATTCATAGAAATCAAAATTGCAGTGATATAGCAGTCCCTATTTGTAACCTGTGCTATACTATTACTTTCTCTGAAACATTGTTTTTCTAGATTTTGACTGTGTATGAGTCATCTGAAGGCTTATTAGAAGAAAGATTTCTACCCCCTTCCCATTAGGTTTAAATGAGTCTTAAATCTTCCAAGGGAATTCTCATACACAGTGAAATGCAAGGATATTGTGCTAGGGAGATTCAGAGATTCAGAGTACCAATGGGAAGGGCTCAGTAGCCCTTAAGAGAGACCCGTTGCTGGTAATTCCAGACAGATACCACAGTATTATTGTTTGATGCTAAGGCCAGATCCCTCCTCTAACTGTATTTCTCTGTTTATTGTTAACATAGCCAAACGTATATTTCTGTGGGGCGCTTTATGGGTCCTTCTTTTCCACCAGAATATCCATTTAGTAGCCAAGTGGCTCAGTACTCTGGAGAAGAAGCTGGAGGAGCACAGCAAAAATAGCCACCCAGAGTTTAGGGTCTTCATCAGTGCAGAGCCTGCCCCTTCACCTGAAGGTCACATAATCCCCCAAGGCATCCTGGAGAACTCCATCAAGATCATCAATGAACCTCCTACAGGCATGCATGCCAACCTGCACAAGGCCCTGGACAACTTTACTCAGGTATGGCCCTTGGGAGTAGGAGAAAGAAGTTGAAAGAGCTCCTTTTTCTTATATGATTTGAGTGGGTGGGAGAAGTATACACAAGTTGAGATGGGTGTAATGCTTCTTGTGTTCTACTTGCTGTTGAGTATGTTTTCTGTGAGTAACATGAGGAAAATTCCTTCAATTTTCCATTTTGTTGATAGTTTTTATCATGAGTGGCTGCTAGATTTTGTCAAGTGTCTCCTGTGCATCTATTGATATGATCACATAATCATTATTTTTCCTTGTACTGATATCGAACCGGGCTCTGCCAGGCCGGCTGCGTGCAAGGCAAACGCCCTACCACTGTGCTATAACTCCAACCCACTGATATAGTGTTGGTATACAATATATTGACAGACTCAAGCATGTTAAATCATCCTTGCATCCTCGGATGAATCCCACTTGGTCATGGTGTATGATCTTTGTATGTGTGATGACTTAGTTACTGTATTCAGTATGCTTGTGTTTTGTTGAGGATATTTTCATTTATGTTCATCAGGGTTATCAATCTGTAATTCTGCTTTTATGTGATCTATCTGTCTGCTTTTGCTATCAGGATAATATCTGCTTCATAGAAACTGAGAATGTTTCTGTTTCTTTGATTTCCTGAAGGAACCTGTAAAAGATTGGCAGTAGCTCTTCTTTAAAGGTTTAATAGAACTCAGCAATGAATCCATTTGGCCCCGGGATTTTGTTTTGGGGATGATACTTTTGGTTACCATTTCATTAGTAGTGATAGGTATGTTCAAGTGTTCTATATCTTCTTGGTTTTCATACTTGGGAAATTATAAGAGCCCAAGAGTTTATTCATTTCTTCTAAGTTATCTCACTTTGTGGCGTACAGATTTTCAAAAGTAAGTCCTTATAATCCTTTGAATTTCTGTAGTATTTTTTATTATGTCCCATTTTTCATTTCTGATTTTGTTTATTAGGCTTCTCTCTTTGTGAGTCTATCAATTTTGTTTATTTTTTCAAAGAACTACCTTTTAGTTTCATTATTTTTGGATTTTTTTCATTTCAATTCATTAATTTCTGTTCTGAGTGTCATTATTTCCTTCATTCTGCCTTCTTTGGGCTCTTTTGTTGGTCATTTTCCAGGTTATTACACTGTATACTTGGGGGTTTTGTTTGTTTTTTGTTTTTTGTTTTTTCTATTTGCAAACTTGGCCTGATGGGTTTTTTTTTTAATTTTTATTAGTGAAACACCATGAGGTACAGTTGTAGACTTACAAATTTTGCTTGAATTTCAATTATACAATGATCAAATACTCATCCCTCCACCAGTGCCCATTTTCCACCACTACAGGTCCTAGTATCCTCCCACCCCCTGACCCCCCGTCCCACCTTGCCTCTGTGGCAGGGCATTCCCTTTTGTTCTCTCTCTCCTTTTGGGTGTTGTGGTTTGCAAAAGAGACACTGAGTGGCAATCATGTTTGGTCTATAGTCTACTTTCAGCATGCTTCTCCCATCCTGGGAGGATCCTCCCAACACCCTTTATTTGGTGCTCCCTTCTCTATCTGAGCTGCTTTTTCCCCTAGGATGTGTGGCTGGCCTCCAAGCCATGGAGCAAACCTCCTGGTACTAATCTTGGCCACTCTTGGCTGTTAGTCTCCATTTTGTTACTTTATGTTCCCCAGATGAATGCAATCTTTCTATGCTATCCCTCTCTTTCTAACTCAATTCGCTTAACATGATGCTTTCCATGTAGTACCACTTGTATGTAAATTTCATGACTTCATCTTTTCTAACAGCTACGTAGATTCTGTAGATGTACCAAAGTTTCTTTAACCAGTCATCTGTTCTTGGGCACTCAGGTTTTTTCCAGATTCTGGCTAAAGAGTGCTACAGTATACTTAGGTTTTTAACATAGGTCCTTTCTTCCTCCCTGATGAATGCTTGCATAACTATGAATTTTTCTCTTAGCACCACTTTTGCTATGTCCCACAAGTCCTGATATTTCATAGTCTCATTCTTGTTTGTTTCCAGGAATCTTTTGATTTCCCCTTTTATTTCTTTTCTGACCCACTGGTTTTTCAGTAGTGAGCTGTTTAATTTCCAGGTGTTTGAGTAATTTCTCCATTTCTGTTTGTGATTAATTTTTATTTTCAATACGCCTTGATCGAAGACGTTAGTTCATACATTCTATCCTCTAGTCTCTACAGAGGTATGTTTTGCGGCCTAGCATGTGGTCTATTGTTGGTCAGTTGGAGGCTCTGAGATACGAAATTTATGTCATAGAGGGTCCAGGTTCTCTCAGACCTGTGACAACCGTAGAGAGCCCTGAAATTCCCTTTTATTACCATCCTACAGTTCATACTATAAAGGGCTCAATCAGTGATGTCATCAAAAGAAGTTACACAAAGACCATTGAGGCAGGCAAAGCATGTATTCTTTCCTTGTATCAGCAGGCCAGTGCATTTTGGCCTAAGGAAAGAGATACAAAAACCAAAACCAAAACATTTCTTTGGGTTTGCATGCCAAAAACAATGCTGGGCCAGCACCAGAAATCTACATCACAAAGACAAACTGGGCCAGCACCTGAAATCTGCATTCCAAAGAGTAGGCTGGGCCTGAGCCTAGAATCTACATGTCAAAGTTCAGGCTGGGCTTCTGAGAGAAAAGGAAAAACTGACTCCTTCAATATACTGAAATTTATGTAATTATTTACTGAAGGCAACTTAAAGGGAAAAAAAAAAAGATGTTCTGCTTAATCCAAACCAGTCAGGATACACAAGAAATCTCGCCCATTTTCATGGGTCCCTACGCTCCTGCCCCTTGTACCAAACAGTCTACATGGGCTCATTCTGATAGCTCAGTCCAACCCCAACATTCTATCTTGGAAAATGTAATGTCTCACACATATTGTAAAAGTACATACTTTTATAAAATGTAAGAGAGCATGTTCTGTCACTGTCACTGTCCTCCCATTGTTCATCGATTTGCTCGAGCAACATTGCTCAGTAACATCTCCATTGTGAGACTTGTTGCTACGGTGTTTGGCATATCGAATACATCACCAATAGCTTGCCAGGCTATGCCGTGCGGGCGTGATACTCTCAGTAGCTTGCCAGGCTCTCCGAGAGGGGCAGAGGAATCAAACTCAGGTCGGCCATGTTGGCTGCTTTGCAAGGCAAACACAAAATGTTATATATATATATAACATTATATATCACAATATATTATATATATACATATACATATATATATATCACAGCCGGTAAGGCATTTGCCTTGCATGCGGCTGACCCAGGTTCGATTCCTCCATCCCTCTCCAAGACCCCAGCAAGCTACTGAGAGTATCCTGCCTGCACAGCAAAGCCTGGCAAGCTACCCAAGGCATATTCGATATGCCAAAAACAGTAACAACAAGTCTCACAATGGAGACGTTACTGATGCCCGCTTGAACAAATCGATGAACAACAGGATGGGACAAAAGTGCTACTGTGCATACAATATATAATTAGAGGACACCCTAAAAGCCTCCATTCCTCTCAGAGAGACTGGCAAGCTACCGAGAATATCCCGCCCGCACAGCAGAGCCTGGCAAGCTACCCGTGGCATATTTGATATGCCAAAAACAGTAAAAACAATGGGCCTCATTCCCCTGACCCTGAAAGAGCCCCCAATATGGCAGCATTAAGAAGGATGAGCAAGGAGAAGCTGATAAAATCTCAGGGCTGAACTAGGCTGCCAAAACGAAGAAGGACTAAAATGATTGTCTGTACTTTCAATGCTCGTATGCTGGCATCGGAAGCATCTATCAAGAACCTGATGGTGCAAACGCAGAAGATCAAGTTCAGCATCATTGGTCTGACTGAGATGAGAAAGTATCAACCACATCACGACACTTTTGACACTGGAGAAGAACTGCCCCTCAGAATATGCTACAAAAGAGGCATCGGTGGTGTGAGTATCCTCATCAACACGAACTTGACCATGAGCATTGATTCATTCAAATGCCTAACATCCCAAATAAGATGCTTACGCTTGAATAGATGTGGCTCACTGCTGGAAGTTTCTATCTTCGTCATCTACGCACCAACATCCAACTACAATGAAGAAAAAAACGAGAGGTTCTACATGGAGCTGGAGAAATTCTATAAAGAAAATCACACCTTCTACAAGATCATTGTTGGTTGATTTTAATGCCAAGATAGGACCGAGAAGATCACCCAAAGAAGTCCACATTGGGACCTATGGCCTAGAACGGAATGAACAGGGTGAGAGACTGTCTGAGTTCATCATGTCAACCAAGACCATCCATGGTAACTCACAGTTCCAGAAGGCCAAATCTAAACATTGGGCATGGCAGTCTCCCAGTGGGAAAGTTCAACAACGAAATTGACCACATCATATTCAATCAACAGTTTTGCCTGATTGATGTTGCCATTGTCCCAAAATTTTAAATGGGATCAGACCACCATCTCTTTTGTGCAAAATTCTACTTCACAGAGTGGGGAGAATAGGCTGCAAAGTTAAGAAGAGAACTCCCAGAACGACCACCAACTGGAAGCTCTTTGGCACTATTGTGGCAACATGGGAAGATGCCATTGTTGACAACATTGACAAAGAATACAATCAACTGGTTCAGCACCTCCATGATTGTGCAAGGAAGGCCAAGAGAGAGAAAGGCACAAAAAGACACCTGTCTTCAGAAAATCTCGAGCTCATTCACCAACATGGCTTGGCACGAGCCTCAGGCAACCACAAGCTAACATCCAAGCTCGCAAAGCAGTGCAGAGAAGTGATAAAGGAAGACCTCAAAGAGAGAAGAGCAGCTGTGCTGGCCAATGTGACAGAAGCCGGGAAAAGTATTCAAAATGCCTACCTGTCCTTCACCAACTACAAGATGAAGATGATTGCCTTCCGATGCCCTGATAGATCTATCACATCACTGTGTGTACTATTATATATATATATATATAATATCTTACATTTTGTCCTTCAAAGTCAATATTATTTTTGCTGAGTTTTAG